AACTTCTTCAGTTTCATCGTTTATTAAAAACGTGGCCATGCTTAAAAATCTTTAGTCCAAAGGGGCAATTTGCCCAAAATTACTATTAATTTCGTTTTGGCATTTTGCGTTTATTCATTTTTCAAATTGTTGCCACCCAATATTATCGCCCTGTATTATATTTACAGAAATTAAATAATAAAGAATCTTCATAAATGTACGTTTTTCGCATTATGATAAAACAACGGTACCTACAGCCCTCAAATTTTGGAAAACTTAATCCTGCTGCGGATATGGGCATCTGGAAGTTAAAATTTTTAATTTGTTTTTATTATCTATTTCGTATTTTGTAAAACTTAACAAATTTTTGATTAACTTAAGGATTTCAAAGCGAGCAATGACAAAATTGTACAGAAAAATAATTTTTAGCTCCAGCGCGCGAGATTGTGCATCGGGAATTCTAAAGATATGCTCATTTTAAAATTATTTTGCGATATTGCTCTTAAAATGAATTTTATGTTGCGAATTTAATTGCGAAGAACATGATATTTAATAAATAAAACACAAGAACTGTTGAAAAAAAAAAAAAAAAAAAAAAAACGCTCCTTTGGACGTAATTTAAAATCTGAAAATTTTCAGATATTTTTTTTTTTTTTTTTCCGAGACGAGGTTCTAAGATGTCCATTAAACTATGCTAGTTTTTCTTGTTAATTCTCAGCATTTCTCTGTTAAAAAAGTCTTTTAACATGGAAAATGCAATTTGAATGCTTTATTCCTCAAACAGCGATAATATTCTTTCAATGCCCTAATAATCCTTCGATCTCAAGATAACTACAGTATGCCGAACGTTACGAGATATACAGGGGGTTGGACAAAAATATGGAAACACCTTTAAAAAAAACATGTTTCTTTACTTAATATGGTGTAGGAAATCCGTTGGCATCCAAAACAGCTTGCAGTCTTCTCGGAATGGATAAATACAGTTCCTGTATGTTTGCCAAGGGAATATTATACCTTCTTCCTGCAAAACGGTGGCAAGTTCAGATAACGATGTTGGGGTTGATAACGAGAACGCACTTTCCGTTCCAATGTAGACCACAAAGGTTCGATAATATTCAGGTTCTGGTGACTGGTGGCCAGGGAAGATGGGACAACTCATCCTCGTGCTCAGAAACCAGTCCTGGACAATGCGAGCGTTGTGAAACAGGGGCTTGTCGTCTTGGAAGACACCATCACCATCGGGGAACAACATTTGTACCATGGGATGAACTTGATCGGCCAAAATGTTCACATAAGTCTTGGCAGTCAATGTGCCCTGACACAGTTATCATGGGGCTAGCAGAGAACCACGATATGGCTGCCCAAACCATAACAGAACACCCGCCATGTTTCACTCTTGGCAACAAAGCAGTCTGTATTATAGGCTTGAGATGGCGTTCTTCAGCGTAAACTCGGCCAGAAAGTGGGAAACCATGTGAAAGAAGACTCGTCAGACCATATTACTCGCTTCCACTGCTCTATAGTCCAGGGCTTTATGACTTAAACACCACCTTTTCCTGTTACGGACATTAGCATCACTGATGAGTGGCTTCTCAATTGCAGCACGGCCAGCAATTCCCTGTTTATGAAGCTCCCTTCTAATTGTTTGGTACTCACAGGGTTCGGTAACACAACATTCATTTCAGCAGTAACTTTTGCAGCTGTGGTCTTATTTTTCGTCACAATTGCCCTTAATGATCGTCTGTCACGATCACTCAGGACACAACTTTCGGCCGCGCGCTGTGATTTAGCAGATGTTTTTCCGCTTTTTCAAATATGCGGAATAAATCTTCGATACAGTTCCTCTTGAAACACTAAACACCTCGGCTACCTTGTTTACGGAAGCACCTACCATACGTGCTCCAACAATTTGCCCACGTTCGAAGTCTTAACTCTGACATAATGCAATGACAACCTCACATAACAGTACTCCGACAACAACTGAACTGTTTAGCCCATTTACGAAGTTGTATAGGTGGCGTCAGTAGTCAAAAACGCCAGCGCCACCTACATATTTCATTAAAATCACTCTCTTTTCAAACATGCATTTCACAAGGTGTTTCCATATTTTTGTCCATCCACTGTATCTTGTCAACAAGAAGTTATCATTCTTCAGTTCGTTATCCCATTTCGAAAACTACGCACTGAAAATTGCCGATATTATCTATGCCTTGAGTTAAACATATAGTCCACTACTAAACTATTTGAACGTTTAAGCTTCAGGGTTTTTTTTCACGACTAAAAGCTTTCTTTTTTAACCACACATAGTGACGCTGGATAGAACTACTAGGCGAACTTTGAATACTTTACAATATTTTTAACTTCCTAGCCAACTACTACGCGAACTTTGAATACTTTACAATATTTTTAACTTCCTAGCCAACTACTACGCGAACTTTGAATACTTTACAATCTTTTTAACTTCCTAGCCAACTATTTCCAAAAATAATTTACCACATTTTTAAGACTAATTCTTCAGCTTTCTACACCATATATGACCGACTTCCACGTCTTTTCCATGAAGATCTGCAAACCAAACTTTCAATGTTTTCTCAATACTGTGATCCCTCCAACTATGCATCCGTTTCATATTTGCATTTCGGTTAACTTTATAAATAGTACCTTCACGATTCTTTAAAATCTTAAGAAATACTGAGGAGGTTTGAATCTGATAGCAACATTTCTTTGAATCATATTTGGGAGTTGGTCATATGGTCTAATAAATAGTAGACTTTATCCCTCAGGCTTATATCATTACAAGTCTCCATAACATCTTTTAAATCGCCAAGTAAAGAAATTAGTACTAGCTAGTTTAGTTTAACTGACAGATAGAGTAGAGTAATTAATTAAAATTGGTCCAGTAGAAGGGGAGCTAGAGAACTGCTTTTTTTGGGGCGGGCGCAGTGTACGTTTCATAGACATTTTACTTAGCAAATATAAGGGACAAAGTAAAATATTCTTGATGGAACATATCTAGTAATCCTGAAATTTAACACTTTTTTTAACTGAAAATGTAAGGAACAACGTAAAATTATAATTTGACAATATATTTATCGCTTGTTTCCATCATTTTCAGTAGTTTTATGCTAAATAACACCATTACTAGATTTATTCATACGCTTTTCCAAAATTTTAGTGTCGAACGTAGCTAAATCGAACTTTAAATAGTCGAAGTACGTTCTGAATATTTTTTAAAGCGATCTCTTTGTTTCCTGGAGAGCAATTCCTGTTGCAGAAGCTAATTATATCAAATTATACCAATCTTTTCCAAACGGAAGAAAACCGACAAATATAAATTAAGCTCAATTTGCGTTTAAAGGAAAAACTAGAATGTCAATGCGGGAAAACTCGATATTGTTAATATTCTTCACACTACGCAATTGCAAAATTTCAAGGGCAAAGTGAATTTTTGAAGGTTAATACTTAATTGCATTTATCTAAAAGTTAAGTGACCCATTGAATAAAAAGGCTAACAGTTCTTTTGTAGACATCATGAAATCTGTGCGAGATAACATATTTTCTTGGTAGACATCACGAAATTTGTGAGATAACATCTGTTGAATAATTCACGAAATAGTTATCCCCGAGTTACCTTTGAAAATTAACTAAAAAACGAATGATTTCATCTAAGCAAAGAAACAAATTGATATTTTCTGCATACTATCGGACTAAAATTTATAAGATTGACGAATGATTTCATCTAAGCAAAGAAACAAATTGATATTTTCTGCATACTATCGGACTAAAATTTATAAGATTGACGAATGATTTCATCTAAGCAAAGAAACAAATTGATATTTTCTGCATACTATCGGACTAAAATTTATAAGATTGACCTTTTTTACAAGTTGGCTTCTCTTATTAGAATTTTATGCCCTTCTGTAAATTTGAGAAAGCTCGATCTAAATGGCAAGCATTCCATTTGTAGAAATAAGGGAAATTGTATTGGGCGAGCCTGATCCGATATTTCGTTTATTCTATAGTATACACTGTGCACAAATAAAGTGGAGAGAATATTCTTTCTCCCATTCTCCTGGGCCGATTGACGAAATTTAACTTGAGTTTTTCATGAGTCGAAAAAGCAACTTACGATGTGCATTAGGTTTATAGCTGTAAAATGAATAAGCATCTGAAGACATGAATAATGACCACTAATCAATACAACTCGTCAAGTTATTGCTAAACTAGGATTTATATTACATTAGAATAAAAAAGTAAAATGAATAATCGTTTCCATATTTGGAAAAAATTTGAGATAAATGCCATTTCCCTGTGTAAACAACCTGTTTTCATAACCATTCGTACATCGCTTGAAGGGTTACAAAGTTTAACACATAAACATCCTTACATGTTACAAGATTATTTGTTTAAAGTTATTTTAAACTTTTATACTTGAATCTCATTTTTGCAGATTTAAACACGAAATTTTAAAATGTCACGGAAAGGAAAAGGAGCCAAAACTGAAAAAAGGGAAAATGCAATTAATGAGGAATCTGGAGAAACACGAGTAATTTTATCGCCAGTAACGATTCTGGAGCTACGATTGGTACTACAAGAGGAACGGGCAGCAATACCTCAACATTTCATTAACAACCTCATTCAGTATGGACAAATGGAGGACTTGCAGTGCAGTCAGGAGAAATATCCCCTACGAAAGGCTCGATGTTTCTTACTGGACACCTGTCACATGGATGTTTCGGCCTACTGTTGCATGTGTTCCTTTTTCAACGCAGTTTATTTTCATCTTCGATTTTTTGGAAGTTTTGCTTACATATTGGGGGTCTGGTATGTGTTATTTTTTGCACATCAGTGTACACACTCTTCGATTAAAAGCGAAATGTTATCTTAAACTGCAAACTAGGATGAAATTGAATAATGCATCAGTTGAGTTTTCCGAGTACTAAACGTAACAAAATCGTGAAATTTAATCTTAATCAGTTTAGCTAAATGCAGTATTTAATTGACGTTCACAAAAGAAACCATTCCAGTAAAATGTTTATTAAACTTATACGAGGTACCTTACAAAAAATACGAATCAAGAGTAAAGTACATTATGTAAACATTCAAATATTAAAATCACACCTTTAAAAATCTTAAATCGGTGCGGTTTTAAACGCACGTGGCCGTCAAGTTTGTAGTCCGCAGTGCAGCATTCAGTTGCACTCGCTGCTTTGAAACGCAAGGTATACACCAGCTTGGCATGCACGGACAGTACCCATACCCAACAAATTAATACAACGTCCCGGAGCTCGCTGGGTCTGAAAACAAAAAGAAATATAAACAGGGAAGGTATTCAAAACATCTGCAATTCAATTTATAGAACTGCATTAAAAGTAATAAGCAAACTCGTGTAAAATCCAGACATTTCCCAATAATTTTGTCAAGTTGTGCTTTAACTGAATCTAAATGTGGGAAAGATATTTCAAAGAAAATTTTTATTGAAGAATAACATTCAAAATTATCATTTCCATTTCAAATCTATTTAGTCCTTAAATTCGCAAACGTAGAGGGACAGATGATATAATGCAAAATGAAAATCAAATTTTACAAGCGTTTATTTATAAGCTATTTCGTGTCGTGACAAAACAAAAGTAACAAAAATATTTTTACATAATCTAGGACAACTGAGAGTATTCTTTGTTCCTCCGCATCTCATCGGTCAGTTCATGGACAACAATGCTCGTTTCAGCACTCTTTTCGAAGCTCTATTCAATCAGCGTGCCACTTTGGGAACACCCACAGAATTAAAGCGATAAGTGCCATCTTCACAAAATTTTACTTGTGTACTCCTCCAGGCCTAATTAGAGTGCCTACCCTTTTTTCTAAATAAAAACTCAGACTTTAAAAGGTAGCGTGATAGAAAGGGTTAAAGTTCAAAGAAAAGAAATTTTTTCGAGCAAGTTATACAAGAAAATTTGAAACTATCCAAACATCAAGCTCTCACCTTCACTTCTTACACATAAGAATCGTTTAAAGTTTACTTACTATTTGGTACTCAACATGGCATTCCACTTCAGTAATTGGAGGAATGTATTTGGCATCCTGTCCAGTTTCAAAATCCTTTTTAGCAGCTGCCCTTACAGCCTCGATTTCACTCGCATTTCTTTGAACTGAAGGTAACATCTTCGAGGAACGAACTGTTGAGTTAGGACGTACGACTTCAGGATAAGATTGGAATTCCTACCGAGACAAGTGACAAAAATAAATATATCGAATCTAGATAAATCACGTACTAATCTTCCAACCAGCATTTCACAACTTTACCGATTTCGAATTGCAGCGTTTGAAGAAAAATCGTTAACGTGCAGCACAGGGAAGTAATGAAGAAGCTAGTGATATCTAAATGCATTTCTGAATCGTAAATTCCCTGTGGTTATTGTACCACAAAAGGATAAAGGGGCTGATCTGAATTGAATTCAGAGAACTGGTGCAAAACGTCTTAAGCAAACCTATTTGAAGGTCAGATACAGGACCCAATACGAACAAAAAGGTGAAATGAATACAACCAATAAATTATCAATTTCTAACTTTATTGTTCCCCTAAATAAAAATTTAAAATTTTCACGGCAAAAATATACAATGTAATAGGTTGAAATATTGTAAAAGATTCGTTCGAGATTTATTCAAGGCATTTTAAAAATATCCGAGAGACTGGTGAATTCAGTTGCGTTAAACCTATTGTACACCCTTTCTGCTCGCACCTATTACTGTCCAAGAGATGTATACCATGTTTACTCACGTGATAGTCGCAACCCCGTTTTGAAGCGGAAAACTCTTAGATTTGCTCGCCTAATAGTTGCACCAAGACTTTCACAATGAAAAATTGGCAAAAAGTAAGACTATTGCGCGACTGAAGATCCATTTGTATAATGAAAAGTGCAAGACTAATATATTAATGCGAGGCTTAAAGTTTCCTTTAACAAAACTAAATTGTTCACTTGAAAATGCTTTTATTTAAGGTGGCCAGTTTTATCGAAAAATCGCTTTATTACGTATTCCATGGGACAGTTTATCTTCGCAAAGTTTGGTGCACAGACGATCTTATGAAATTTAAACGAAAGGGCCATTTAAAATCCAGAATGCGATCTTTTAATGGTCTCGAGATCTGCTTAAAATTAAAAGGTATATTTTAAAAGTGCCGTCAGCAATTTAGAAAACTGAACATCTTTTAGCAATTCAAAAGTACACCAGCTCCAATACTGAAACTACCAATACTTTGTAAACTATGTAGAGTGAAAGAACTGTAGAGTGTTTCATCGCAACAGTCTTAATTGAACATGTTTATGAAACTCAGAATTGCAGAAATTCTTACTAAGACAGAACACAAGCAAGAACTACCATAGTATTATGCGATTTCGTTATTTGAATACGGCAAAGCATACGAGGGATATTTGCCCGATGAGAGAGATTCCTTCGTGAAGCTGCTTCGAGAGAAACCGATTATTTTCCATGTTACACACTGAGAAAACATGCACCTCAGCCCGTTCGCTAGAATCTGAAACCAGGTCGAAATACCAGTATCCAAAAGTTAACGGCTCTGTTATTGGCGGGGCTAGTAGTATATGAAACTAATTTGAAAGGCGATTTTATTGCAAAACCCTACATCAGTTGCCATAGAATTAGACAGAAATTTAAAAATTTTACTTTAAACTTTCAAATTCATACCGGCTTTTATGTACTCAAAGGGTTTTCAGCGCTGGAAAGTGAATTAGTAAATCTAGACGTCCTTTACTGGCTGAAGGAAAATTAGATTAGCTACAAGAAGTAAAATTGTTAAATGCACGTGAAGTAACAAGCAAACTAAATGTGTGATATGTTAGTATAAAAATTTAACTCTTAGTTTCTCAAAACACTCCACATAGCTTTCTTACTTTAAAAGACCGGTAGGCTGAAATATTCCACTTTTATGAAATTGTGGACGATTTAGTTTCCTAGTGCAAATATGCCCCAAAATCTTATTCCTCGTTCACCTCTAAAATTTTGTTGACCAAGACCTTAAAAGAAAAAGCCACTAGGAAGATTGCCAATTTCGGCTCATTGTGCTTTCGGTTTGTTAACAAATCAAATGATTCTTACATTTTTGTTTGCAAGTTCTGGAAAAATTTTGTACATCATGCGTTTAGCAGTACTACAGAGGCTGTTCGCACATTTTTTAGACAATTTTGGTAAGTGGTAATAAAATATCGTTTGCTGTAAAAAGTAATTGCAATTGTACTATGTTTTTAAAAGTCAAAATTATCGTCTGTGGCTTGAAAGTTGTTTTTATTCAAAATGGCGAATTTAACAAAGCAGTTGTTCGAAGGCTACATTTACGCTCTTTTTGAAGAGAAATATGGTGTCCACTGTAAACAAAATGATAAACGTCGATTTAAATCTTAAGAAAAAAAAAAAAAAAAAAAACGCAATGTGCATCGTCTTCCAAAGCACATCGCTCAACGCAGGACACGCTGCAGAATTCTATAGGAGAAACACTTATCCAAAGAAAAATGGAAAACAATTGTCACAATAGATGAAGCATCGTTGTATTTAAATGATTGTAACAAAGAGCCATTTATTATCATGAAAGGGGAGAAAACAATTTAAGTACATGGTTCAAAGAATCGAAAGAAAGTTTTTAAGGGATTTACGATTGTTGCTGGTTTCTTAGAATGGCAAGTTAAAAATAAAGAGTGCAAAAAACGTCAAGATTAAATCCAAATACTATCAGGAACATATTTTATCGACAATTTTTATGAATGAAATACCATCGCTTTACCCACAGTGCCATCCATCTGTGATACTCGATCATGACAAAGCTAGCAGTCACATCAAAACCCACTGTAAATTTACTAAGAGAAATGGAACAAAAACTGGTATCAATTTGTGCTTTCGGACTTTTAAAAACTGCATTATCCAAACGTTGTCAAAAATCCTAACAGGACTCTGGAAAGCTGTTCTGGTGGAATGGAATAGAATACCTCTTCTGCCACTTTAAAAGGCATTATCCTGGAAATTGCGGTGTCGAAAGATAGTTCGGAATAAGGGATGTCAAATAGAACATTTAAAACACAAGAATTTTATGGTGTTGGTGTATTTAATTATGGCAAAGCACACGAGGGCTATCTGCCTAAAGGAAGGAATGCCTTTCGTGGAGGACTTTCTAAGGGAAAACTGGCTCGTATACACGTTACAACATTGGGAAAACCACGAAAACGCCCATGCAGCCAGCCCGTTCGCGGGATTCGAACCTCGGACCGAACTACCAGTGTTCAGCGTCTTTACCGCTCGGCCGCTGGTGGGCCAAGAATTTTATGTAATTTAGTTTTCTGAATACAATATACATTGTCTAAAAAATGTATGAACAGCCTCTGTAAAACCGTTAACTTCAAAGTATGCAGCCCATCGAGTTTACAGTTGAGATTTCCCTCATTAATTCAAAGTAAAGTTAACAGCTTGACCTTTGAAAATAAGCACCTGTTGATACAAGCTTAGTGACTCATAATCAGATAAATTATTTTTCAAACATCGCACAAGATGGCAACGCAAGCTTAATAACCATTTTAAAATGTGAATAGAGTAAAACTGAAGCAAAGGGCCAGTTCTGTTGGTTAATCTAAATTCAAAGTTGTAAGTATCGCGATAATGCTAGACATTTTTCTAAAATTAAAATTTCGGTTAGTCTGTTTAAATATGGTTTAGCACACGAGGGTAATCTACTTAAGGGTAGAATGGTTTTGAGGAGGAAAAGGAAAAAATCGCCTCATACTTTCGAAATTAGATGTGACGAACTCATGAAAAACAATCACTAATTTACTCCAGTGATCTGGGTTCAAACTACCAGTATTCAGGAGTCTTAACCTTTGGATTTCTAATTGAGCAACATTGATTAGAAACTGGCATCAAGAATAAAATTGTTTTTCCTTTCACATTCCACTTAAATGCAAGCGACGATTTTAAAGCAGATATTTAACAAAATAATTTTATCGTTCTAGTTTTGTCTATAGCTTACATATCGTTTTTGTACATTATGAATTTGTCTTTTGCCTAAATAATTAAACAAGTATTCTTTAAACATTAATACGACAATATTAGTAAGGAATGGGAAAATGAACGGTAATACTACAACATTCAAATACACGTTTTGGCATTTACCAGAAGTGAAGTTATTTTAGTCCTGGCAGTACAAGGAATCGCTTTAAAATTCAAACAATTTCGTTAAAAATTTAGTTCTAGTCCTACAATTTTAAAATTTGAGGGTGCTGGTTAGAAGCACCAGAAAATCTCAACAAAAATTTAAAGTGCAGATAGTTTCAAGAAGTTTTTTTTCAAGTGTGTGTGTGTGTGATTATGGCAAAGCCTCGAGGGCTATCTGCCCTAAGGGGAGGGACGCCTTCGTGGAGGACTTTCTAAGGGAAACTGGCTCGTATACACGTTACACATGGGGAAAAAACCACGAAAACGCCCATGCAGCCAGCCCGTTCGCGGGATTCTAACCTCGGACCGAACTACCAGTGTTCAGCGACTTTACTGCTCGGCCGCTGGTGGGCAGTTTTTTCAAGAAAAGAAAAGTTTCAAGAAACTATCATTGAAAAAAGGTTACAAAATCTTATTAGTTTTAATCGATGACTTAAAAGTGACTTACTGTTGAATTCTGCGCATCTACCGTGGAGTTTCGATCGAAGCTCTTGTCGAAATCGGAAAATGTGGCGGTAGTAGCAGCAACTGCAAAGCACATGGCGCTCAGGATAAAAATGAAAGTGTTCATGTTTTCTGAAAGAAAAAATAAGACTGAATAAGAATCTCGAAATGTCTAAAGGGAAATTAAGAAATCTTTCTTGGATTCAGGATAAAGTCAGGCAAGCAGTCAGGAATAAAGATTTTAAAAGCTAAATACCACATTCCGTTGAATTAGTTAATATATTGCCGTCTAGGTAAAGATTTCGAATGACGCAAAGCGCACGAGAGCTATCTACCCAAGAGAAATGCCTTCCTGGAGGACAAAAGCAGAGTCTCACGCTTGCTACACATGATAAAACCCAAATAAATTTCCATGCAGCCAACCCGTGCGCCTGTATCTGAACCCAGAACTATTGTTCAGACCAACCTTCGTAGGCTTGTAATAATATTTTAGCCAACCTGCCATAAAAGCAGTGATGAACTTAAAAACTTACTTCAAAAGGTCAGTTGCCATCATTTTAGAATAGCGTTTGGTTTATTACTGGGAAACGTTAGTACACATAGCAAGATTTTGAAAGAGACACGCATTTACATTACATGAAAAAACCTCAAACTTCAAAAACTGGCCTTCCATTCAGCTGCTGGCAACAAGATCTCATGCATCTCTCAAGGCTTCGTTCGGTTAACTGGACGATCTCGGTTTAGAATGATATGAAAACTAAAATGAAACTTCAAAATGCTTAGAACATGCGTTCAAGTAGTTAATACTTACACATGAAACGGTCCGAAATTTGAGTTTTGTAGAACTCGAAGTTGAACTAGCATTCATCTTAAGAGTCGTGTCGTAACTGTAGTTTTGATTATCAATACTTAGTTTTCAAGAAATTTAGCGGCGAGAGAGCTAGCTAGGTTGATACTGGCTTTGAGGGAAACTATGCCTAGGGGTACTTTTGCCACACGTTAAGAGATCCAGTAATTCTCGTACGAAATACGTTAGGCTACCGAGAAACTAGCAGTATTTTGAAATTTTATCGGCTGTTTGATAAGGATTTCGCTTACTTGATGGCAAAGTTCTCGACGGGTATCTGCCTAAGGAGAAGGATGCCTTCGTAGAGGAAATTTCAAGAGAAACCGAGTCGTATACACGTTACACATAGGTAAAACCACGAACACGTCCATGCAACCAGCCCGTCCACGGGATTCGAACCTTGGACAGAACATCAGAGACTTCACAGCTTGGCCAATAGTGTCCCTTAATTTCCTGAGGAAAGGCTATGAATTTTTCTACAATCTTTCGTGAAAGAATGTTAAGGTACTCAACTACTATACCTTTAATTTTTAACTTGAAACTCAATAAAACTTAAATGAACATTTAAGCCGCGGTTTTCAGTATTCAGCAAAGGCAGCGATACAAACAACTTGCGTAGAATACACCAGGTAGTTCTCCGTTGTGCTTGTGCCCAACTGTGGGTGATGCGAGACATAAGGCATCCACTGAAGATTTGCAGTAATTCTGTTTCCACTTTAAATACAGAGAAATTTTACTTGGTTGGCATGGTTGTGTGTATCTGAGGAGTCTGCAGACAAATAATTTCACTTTCAATTGGGAGAAATTATCATCGCTTTACGAGAAAAGTAGAGCGCAAGGTTAAAATTCAGGAAATACAGAGAGTGAAAAATACCGCTTGTGCCAATAAGCGAAATACTGTCGATTGTTAGTTCAGTATAGAGCAAGTTATGGTACAAAAATGAAAATTAACATTTCTAGTAAAGAGGAAATAAAATTGTTAATTAGCAGATTAATATTAAAAATTTGAAGGAAGAGACAAGATGTCAAATGAAAACGGATAACTAAAAATTGAATAGTGGCTTGATCATTAAAATCCTTAAATGCTCCAAAAATTTTCAAGAATACGAGCGAAATCCTTTACAGGAAGAATATTTCAATCCAAGTAACAAATTCCAAGTTTTACGAAACGCATTTAAACGCCAACAGAAACTTGTTCCTGAATAATGTAGAGAAGATAAGACAACTTCTCGTAATAACAAAGTTTTGAATTAAAGTAACAAAAACAAAGTTTTGAAAATAAGGGTAGTAATCCAAGACTGGAAGAACACACTTTTCCCTGGTTATGATAATGATAATTAAGGGGATATTCGAGGATTTCAGAAGGTATCGAATTCAAATGCAACTATTATGGCAGATGTGGAGCAGAATTATAGCGATAATGTCATATGGACAAAGTAAAATACATGTCAGAAAAATTAGATTAATATGCTAGCCTGTCTTAGACACTGATTAACCTTACAACCTATTTTAACACGGCAGAAAAGACCAATAAAGTTTGTTTCTAATTTCGTAAAAGAAGTTAAGCTAGTTAATTCGGGACAAAAAAGAAAAATTCCCTCTGAAAGTTCTTATGGGTCAGTTACGGCTTTTCTCGACTAAAGAAAACTTTAAATATTTAGCAGAACAGTATAATAAAGGTAGACCAAGATAGCAGTTCGAAGTAATTCTCTCGAAACAAACTTAACGATACTGAATGTACTGTAGTTTCTTTAAGCTCAAATCTTTAAGCTAAATGTAGATTTAAAACTTAAAGGATATTACTTGTTCAAAAATAAAGATCAAAAGTATTTATATACGTTGCTGAACTATTTCCTTCATAGCCTAAAATGGCAGTTTGCCTTCTGTACAGAAATGCACTTGATTGCAAATTAAGCTTGCTTGATATGACCTAAATGAGAAAAGACATGAAATGAGATAACCAGTCATAAGAGAATTTGAAAGATTTAAAACTGTTCTACATTGTTAATCTAGTCCTTCCAGGACAGGAAGAAGTGCAAGGGGCACCACGACATCGTCATAGACAAAAAAATGGTATTGCCCCACTGCACCAACCTTTTCTGGCATTTATTAAGACAAAATATTACATTTCAAGTCATTACATTACGCAGTTGACATAATAAATTACATTAAAGTAACAAATTATTTACATAGGAAGAACAATTATACAGATAAACTGGGGTACAGGTAATCGAGGTACAGATATATTGGTATACAGGAATCAATATGGAGATTGTTACAATTAATTAGGTGTTGCAGTTTGACATTTGTTGGTGTGCTTGGAGGAATGTCTTAGCATTTGGGAAGATGGATGTGATGCGAGTTATAATGCTATGTTATTTTTTATTGGTGGTATCATTATGATAATCGTGCACAGATTTTGCACAGAGTTCATTGTGCATAAAGTTCGATGTGCACAGAATTGTGCGCAGCAGCATGGAGAGCACTTTGTATAATGAGCATCAGATAATAGTGTAAAGTTCAAAGTACTGCTCTTCAATCTAAGGTATTCATACGATTCAAATATGATATTCAACAGGGAGTGCTCCTATCCTAAGTCTTCCAGGAGTTTTATTATTAAAAACGTTTTTGTAGTACCAGTTTCGATAGTTTTTGAACAATCTTCAGCTAATTAAGACACAAAAACACACCGAATAAATACTAATTCAGAAGTCAAACAAAAATCAGCGTTATATTTTGTAAATATAACGCTGATTTTTTTTGTTTTGACTTCTGAATTAACAATCTTCAGCTGCTAAAAAAGGTAGTTCCAAAAACTATCGTAACTAGTACTGCAAATTTTTTTTTAAATAATTAAAGTTTTTTTTAAAATTTTAATTTTTTAAAATTAAATTTTTTTTTTTAAATAATTAAATTTAAATTTTTTTTAAATAATTAAATTTATTTATTTAAATTTAAATTTAAATTATTTAAATAATTAAATTGGGATGTTTTTGTTTGTTTATTCAAAACGTGATATTTAATCAAGATACTTAATATTGGCGAAAATTGAAGAGAATTTAAAACTTAAGAATACAGCAGAAAATCTACGAAATTATAAAATTTATATTACAGAAATAATGAAGTAAATTTACTGAATCATGGAAACCTTCGGCAATTTCTAATCTAGTTATTAATTTTGTATTCTAATCCTTACCATTAGAATTAGTCTCACATCTTCACTTCCTTGTCACGAGGAAATATTTTAAAGAATTAGAAATATTGGTACCGATTGGTTTTATATCCAAGAGTTCGATATTCTGAATAACTTATCAACTTTATTCTTTTAATAATTAAGCAATTTAGCCAGCGTTAAAGCAATTAGTGTTTTTGGAACTTAAATATTAGAGCAACCGCATCAGAAACTGAAAAAAAAATTAAAATGCGGATAAAATTCTAATAATTAAAGAAATGGCAGTGCTATTTGTTAATTTTAGGTTACATTCAAAGTTTCAAGACAAATAGCAATATTTTTTAGCCCCAAGCTCATTTTTAAAATATAAGCTTGGGGGCTTTTGCTCGAAATAGAACAAATGGTAAGAATGTACTATTTTACTTTAAATAACTATATAAACAGTTGGTTTTAGTTTTCTGAAATATATCACGAAACACGTACAGAAGAAAGACTCCTGCAAGTAGATTTAGAGATGACTTTCCGGGTAAATATTAATTAAAACGTGAACTAGTATTAATCCTATGGATTATGTTTTGCAGTTGTAAGTCATTGTTTTTCTCCTACGCCAAATCGCAAAACTTCACTAAAGGAGTTGTGTCAATAATGAAGGAATCTTACTTTTATTTGAAAACATGTCAGAATTCCTCCAAAGTTAGGATTTCACAAATCCGATTTTCAGCATTTGTTTTAATCACTTCACGCGAATCTTACAACTTTGTTGATATTAAAAGAAAACATTTATTTCGAAAGAACGCAAGTGCATTCAACAATAACTGCATCAAGAACATAAAAGACAGATCTTTAATACAATAAATGAGCTGTACCTGCACATTTCTACAATTTTAAGCATGAATACTTCCCCCCCCTTTCACTCTTGCATCGGTAAGTCTTTAATGAAAGTTTGTTGTTTAATACAAGCTAAACATTGCAGGTACTATTTAATATAAAATTAAGTAAAATACAGTCTAAGATTAGATGAGAATTTTTACTAAAACAACCTCAATTTAAAAATATAAAATTTTAAAGCTAACCAGATAATTCATTTCTTAAAAAAACATGTTCATGATAATTTTTGAAAACACCAATAAACACTGGAAGAAACAGAAATGTAAAAAAATACTTAAAAATACTTACCAATGCACTGGACGCTTCTTAAGCAAACTCGATTTGAATTTCTTCAAGTACTGCCTTAAGCACTGTAGCTGGATCTTATATAAATGATTCAGATAACTTTCACTTCATGCTGAGGAATAATTTTCGTTTAGACTAAGTATGAAAAATAGCTTTTAGAACACGCATTTACGATTTTTTTTTTTTTTTTTTTTTTTTTTTTTTTTGTTTCAGACTAATTCAACATTTCAAAATCCTTCTTTCGCAAGAAAAATTATCATTTAAAAAATCTAAATGTTAAATCGAGAAAAATGATCGTTTGCATGTAAAACGCGACTTTCTGCATTCTGGTTTGAGCATTGATTTTAATGTAGGACGTTTATCCAAAATTTAACATTCTTGTTTTTTACAATTCCTAATATAGCTCATAAGTTGGCAACGAAATTTATGAAATTAAAATATTGCTTTTGTAAATCAAAGATAATTAGGTAGCTTTGTTAAGGTCAAATCATTAGAATAAAGCATTGTCACGACCAAAAATTATTTGTTAAGATATGAAAACAGATGGATTTTAAAACTATACATGAAATTGTATATATTGCTAAATATTTTTGTTGCTAATGTTACATTCGCTGCTGTATCCATTTGTTTTCCATACTCACATGTCCGCCACTGGCTGACAGTATAAAACGGTTAAATACTGGCAACGAATAAAATGCAGAAGGATATAACTACATGCAGTGGAACCTTGAAATACGAGCACTTCTATATACGAGAAATTCAAGAGACGAGGAAAGTATGAGCGAAAACTTTGTCTCTAAATCCGAGCACCTCTATATACGAGAAATTCAAGAGACAAGGAAAGTATGAGCGAAAACTTTGTCTCTAAATACGAGCATTGACTCGAGTAACGAGCAATAAGCCAGGCTGTTGATATGCGTGGCGCCATTTCTTGATCCGTCTGTGCTCGGGAAATACCCTCGCAGATCACTCGGTGTCCTTTGATCTACGTGATTGTGCGCTTGTGAGTCAATTGTTTATTACATTTAACGTGAAAATAATTATTTCACGATGTCTCCCGAGACTCACGATGTCTCTGAGACTGTTGCCTCAGATGGTGCTGCAAAGAAAAATAAGGAAGCCATGGCCGTTGAAATTACGAAAGAAATCATAGGTAAACAAGCTTAGTGTAAGAGGGACGGAATTGGCGAAGACTTACGACATCGACGATTTGCACTATTCTGAAGAAGCAGGAAGAACTTAAGAAACTTGATGAGGCCAAAGGAGTTACCGTTACTTCCAAGCAGCGCCCTACTCCTAGAAGATGTTGAGAAGCTATTGTTGGTGTGGATTAACGAGAAGCAGTTAAAATGTCTGTGTCGGAAGCTATCATAAAGGTAAACTGCGGTTATATTATTTACCGGCGTTGTTTATTAGAAAAAAAGTATTTTCATGTTGGTATTTTGGGGGTGGGGAACGGATTAACTGGATTTTTCCATTATTTTCAATGGGGAAGTTTGTTTCTAGCTGCGAGAAATTTGTTATACGAGCTCGATGCTGGAATGAATTAAACTTGTATCTCGAAGTTCCACTGTATTTTTGAAAAATAAATGACTAATTATTAGGAATTTCAAGGCCACGGTATTACAAGGCTATACATCTGCAGCCTCAAAATCAGACTTCCATAAACTTCAGGTAGTACTGAAGAATCTGAGAAGAACTGTAAATCCACATTACCTGGTCCTGTGTGTATCTGTAACTGTGTAAGCCTTTCAGCAAAGTCGAGAAATTAAAGCTACTGGATATTTCTTTGTGGAGGGGGGAAAATTATATAAGACGGAAGAGTACGTTACTTTTCAGTTTAATTTCAGAGTTTAGCTCAGCGCGTTGAGAGTAACTGTGCGAGCTTTACACATCTGAGGCCTTTTGTATTGCCTTGTATTTATCATTCTTAGCAGCTTGAAGTGGTAATTTCTGATTGTGGTTTGTTCTACTGAGAAGAGTTGTATAAGTACTTTTGTTGAAGAGTTCCAAGACTATAAATTATCTCTGGAAAAATAAATTTCGTGAAGTTCTCATTGGTGCTGTGTGCATTCAATCCATTACGGAGCCGTGCGTACGAAACAAAATAAATGAACAAATGTACAATAACACTGTAAAGAGGGAAAACAAAAAATAAAGAAAGAAAGAAAGAAAAGAAAAAATTAAAAAACAAAGAAAAGAAAATAGAGTGATAAAGAGATGAGAACTCATTAAAAATCTCTTTTAGGTTTACAGATAATTAATACCCACAATCCTGCATTACATGACGTAGGATAAGTGTATTTAAAAAACAAAAATTAAACCTCTATGATGTTTGTAAATCTACATATTTTTCACTTTTAAGCACGTATTACAATTAAGTTGTTAGGTGAATTACGGATGTAAATTGTCAAATAAACGAAAGTACTACATATAATTAACATAAAGAATTCTAAGACAAGTGGCGCCATCTTCAGGCCATTCATGAGAATAATCATTGAAACTAAATTAATGATTTTAGAAAAGTAAAATTCCGTAAATTAATCACATACGAAAAAAACATAAGTAAACACATTCTATACAAAATTTAAATAAAATTTCATAATGTAAAATTGAAAAATACATTGGATTTAAATCTTTAATGCTAGGATGCCATAAGACGATGTTTTTTTAATTTTAAAATGCTCACCTAAAAAATAAAATCTTATGCTCAGAGTAAGCCGGGACAGCTCCAGGCACAAGTGATTGATTATAGGCAGCCACCTAGGGCTTCAGCAACGTTACCAAGTATTAGTTAAATAAAAAAACGTATTTTACTCTGAATTATTAATACATTTATGTTATTGAAAAAGCCTAGGGCGCCGAAAATGCTAGAGCTGGTTTTGAGGATAAGATTTAAAAAATGTTTGCACAGTTTAAATTAATTTTTTAAAAATTTTACTTTAAAATTATCTTGCATAGTTTTGCCTAAAATAAATTAGTTTGCCTCTGTTGTCACAATGCTTATATTAAGCTCACATAGTATGCTTAAATATAACTCCTGTTTCTTATTTTGTAAAGTACTTTCATAAATGTAATATCAACTTGTGTGAGAAACTGTCTTCTATAGTACAGCCAAAATGGTATACATCCATCAATATCTGCATTTATTTAAACTCTACGGTTCTAAAAAATATAGAAAATATTTGATAGGAATCATACTTACTGGAAAAATATAGTAATAAACATTTTATTTACTAGATTTATTAAATATTTATAAGTAACAGTACTTGAGTAAGGAAAAATATGTAGAAGATGGCAAATTTTTCTTTTTCTTTTTTTAACAAACAAATAAGACGCATAACGGAAGTGTATTTGTAGATACAGATAGACAAAAAATATGGCGGCTTTAAAGAAAATAAATTAATATATTTCCAATGTATTCATAAAATATATGAACGTAACTACGAAGGAATCTTTTGATGCCTTTGTTGTCAATCCAAAGAAATTTATGCGAGCTTTAAAATGCTTTGGAACATACATAAAATTTGGAAAATTATTAGATTTTTTTTGGTAGAGAAAACATTTAGGGAAATTATAGGAATTTTGCTTAAAATTTAGGACTTTTTTTCTAATGAAATTTCTGAGATTTTCAGAACTTGTTTAAAATCTCATATAGTTAACACCTGTGAAGGTAATTTACTTCAGATATGGCATACTTCTGAATCGTCGCACCAACTAAAAAGAACAAAAACTAAAATTGAAAACTGAATTTTATTTTTAATCTGATTATTTTATTAGTCAAGTATCTTTGGAGCAAATACTCTTCACTGCGCTACATTCCTTCAGTTTGCTTTTATCTCAAAAGGTTTGCAATATTCTGACAAGCATCCTATTTTGTTGCATCAGTTGTTTATAGATGGCGCCACCAACAAAACTATTAACTCGAGTAAAAAATCATAATTGGAATATTTTATACGTTTTGTAAGTTTAAGTAAGGAAATCAAGTTTCTTTTCCTTCTGAGCGGATGTATTTTTTCACTTTAGTACGTACTAAATTAAGCATTCCAATTTTATATTAGTATATATACCAAATTACGTATTTTTGTATGAAACATTTTTATTTCAGGCATTTTTTTTGTCATATATTTAAAAAATTTGGAATAGAAAGTTTAATAAACACTACATATAATCGTCAATGGTATGTAGAAAATGTATTGCTAAAGCATATTTCCTTCAAATTTAAAATTCATCGTAAAAAAATATAGCAGAAGCACAATAAAGTAACCGTTTTTGAAATGCCCTTAATGCTACAAAAGTTAAATTAACAAAAAAGCAAAAATACTTTAACCTACCGATTAACAACTTTAAATCTAAACTTCATATTAATACAGGTTTGCTAAGTAAACAGAAATATGTATATATATTCAAATTTTTCCTTCCATAGGATGATCCTTCTTGGATAAAACTCAATCTCCCATAAATTTTTATCATTTTTAGCGATAAAATTTAAAAGTTAGTATTACTATCTTAGAAATGGAAAAATACGGAAAGTACGAAAATAAAAAATTGCTAGATCATTAACAAATCATTAGAAAACCAAATATGTAGAAACAGATATTACAAATAGAGAGCTGTGAATAGTAAATTTTCGAAATCCTATTTATATCATCCGCGTACGAAAAATATGGACTTTTTAATATGACAGTGCTTTTATAGTATCCAAAATATTGCTCAAACGATTGTAGACAGTTATATATTCCTATGATCAGTTATCGTGAAAATATAATAGCAACATATTCAAAAGAATGTTGAAGAATACCTCTTTACAATAAATTTTCATAGGAATTGGTAAACGAATTGTTTTACAATAAAAATTATTAGTTATATGATAGGAGTTATGAAAAATACCATGGTTTTAATATGCACACTGCGCAAAAAAAAGGAGGAAAGTTCTATATCTTTCATTCTACTGGGTAGATTGATGAAATTCAAATAGCGTTTTTAATAATTCGAAAGCGTGACTTACGATATATACTAGATTTATATATAGTATTGTTGTAATACCGGTATTTTGATACAAAAATCGACCTTTTTCTGAAATGACATGCCAGTTTTTTTTCCATATTATTTCGAATCTACGACTGCAATTATGCTTAAATATTAAATTTTTAAAATTTG